CATACATACATACATACATACATACATACATACATACATACATACATACATACATACATACATACATACATACATACATACATACATACATACATACATACATACATACATACATACATACATACATACATACATACATACATACATACATACATACATACATACATACATACATACATACATACATACATACATACATACATACATACATACATACATACATACATACATACATACATACATACATACATACATACACACTTACCGGCTCATATACAAACATACAAACAAACATGTATATGCATAAATATGTATCTATAATATATATACTTATGTGCATGTGTCCGTTAATGGCACTACATTTATGTGAGTGGGTACTTTTACATTTTTGATGAAAGTGTCATTTTTTAAGGGAAAAAACTGTTCACCGTTTTTTAAAGCAACAATTTTCAACTCTCATTCAACTTCTGGTCACTTTATATTCATAATTTTCATTTTTTTTGTCTTTTTATCTACCTTCTTAGATTTCTAACTTTTCTGTGAAAATTTTCACACAACCATTGTGTATGTTTTTGTGTGTATGTGTGTATTTGTTTATTTGTATGTAGGTATGTGCTTGTTTGTATATAATATATATATATGTGTGGGTGTGTGGGTGTGTGTGTGTGTGCAGTGTATGTGCATGTATATGTGTGTGCGTGTGTTTGTGTGTGTGTATATGTGTGTATATGTGTGCGTGTTTGTGTGTGTATATGTGTGTAGTGTATGTGTGTGTGTGTGCTTGCGTGTGTTTGTTTGTGTGCGTGTGTTGTAGCGAATAATATTTCTATCTTGATTTGAAAATTCGTTTTTTGGTTATATGGTGCACCCAACAAACGCTCGTCATGGGGTAGGGAAGTTTAATAATGATGTTAACAGGCGAATGATAAAATACATTTTTTCATGTTATCCACCATCGCTGTTGGTTGGTTTCTCGGTTTTTGTTGTTGTATGTGTTTGTAGTGTTTTTGTTTGTTGTTGTTGATGTTGTTGTTGTTGTTGTTGTGGTTGTGTTAATGCTCTTGCAGACTATTTTGCTATTGTTCTTATAATTATTGTGATTTATTTTGTCGTTGCTGTTATTATTATTGTTGTTGTTGTTGTTTTTATCGGTCTTTATATTGTTGTTATTATATTGTGTGCTTCAAATAGTTGTCGAAAAGATACACATCATGTGACGTGTCCAACGCTAAAAAGCATTTAACCAGTAACACACAGCACACGATATGAACGTACAATATGAACATACAATATGAACATACAATATGAACAAACAATATGAGCATACAATATAAACAAACAATATGAACATACAGTTGAACATACAATATGAACATACAGTATGAACATACAATATGAACATACAGTTGAACATACAATATGAACATACAGTATGAACATACAATATGAACATACAATATGAACATACAGTATGAACATACAATATGAGCATACAGTATGAACATACAATATGAACATACAATATAAACATACAATAAACATACAATTGC